GAACAACCGGACCGCCGGAGGTCCGCAGGGTTGCTAAGGCATTCGGGAACCAATTCCCGCGAAACCCCTCATTAAAAGGAACCACCCGCTTGACCCCTAGGAGGTCAAATAATTAATTTTATTTATCTTATATCTGTTCCTTAACTCCTTGTATTTTTTAGCATGTAGCAGGCAGTCCGTAGGCATATTATAGGTGTTCTAGACTCTTTAGTATATCTATTTAAAAAAACTAAGTGCCTGAAATAAAACCTTTATAACTGCCCCTTATAGTTTTAATTACTTTACCCCTGCCTTACTACTATTATATTTATATGCGGGTGATCTCGCGATAAATAAAAATATTATATTTATTAAATACTTTTAAATAACCTTCTTTTTACCTCAGAGGAAGTAATTTAACCCTTTATATTAAATAATAATCTTTTTTTTATTTAAATATTTAAAAACTATTATTTTAAATAATTCTCTAGTTATTAAAAGACCAGCAGTTAGCTTATAGCCTTTCTGCCAGTATAAATAACCCTTAATATACTAATAATACTAATAAAGATCTTAAAAAAAAAATAAAAAAAAACTTTAAATTTAAAAAACCAGAGATCTTCAGGGGCAAGGACATGAATTAATATATAATTTTTATCTAAAATTTAAAGTATTATTTTAAAAGTAAACCTCACTCCTTTTTTAAAAAAAAAATAAAAATTTTATATATAGAGATATACTTATTAAAATCTTTTTAAAACTTATAATATTTAACACGCTCTGGGGATCTCTAGAAAATAATATTTAAAAATTTTAAAATTTTTTTAATAAAATAAATAAAAAAAAAGAAAACTAGGAATAAACTTATATTTATAATTTCGTTTAACTAAGACAGAGCCCTAACTAACCTATTTAAACTATATTAAATAAATATATCTTTTTTATAGAGCTTATATAAAAGAATATTAACTAATTTTTTATTAATTATTTTTTTAAAATATTATAACCAGACCTATAAAAAAATATTAAGCAAGCCCCTAAACTATTAACTAATAAAAGACTAAAAAACCTTATTAAAACAGATGCCCTAGCAGAATAATATAAATAATTAGTAAAATAAAACAAGAAGTTTTATTAAATACTATAATTATATAATAGATTATTCTCTAAGAATAAATATTTTTTTTAAAAAAAAAACTCCTTTTAGGAAAAGAATTTCTCTTAAGATAATTTCCTTATTTTATAAAATAATTTTCTTAATTCTCGGGGTAGCAGTATATTATATATAAAATATAAGTATTCTAAAAAAAAGTAGCTATTTTAAGTAACAGGCTTTCAGAGATAAAAAAAAGTGCCTAAATAAAAATAAATATTATTTTATTTATAAAAAAAAAATATTATTTCTGAAATTATTATCTCTAAAGAAATAAAAAACTATTTATAAATATAATTTCTAATAAAGTAAGACCTTTAATAATAAAAAAAAAAGATGATTTTTCTTTCTAATAAAAAGGCGCGCCTCTAATTTTTAATATAATCAAGCCTAATATTTTATTATAATTCTCTTTTTTCCGCGCGGACGTTTAACTATATATAAAAAAAAAATAAACTACCGCGAATATATTATTAAATACAGGAATAAATAATAATTTTATATTATATTATTAGCTAAAAGGGCAAAACTTCTAATTTAATACTAATTAAATATTAACCCCTATCTGTTTTATCAGAAATTAAATAACATTTTAATACAGAATACTATAGAAAGATATAAAAGTTTTTAACTTAAATAATAATATATATAGTTATACTATATAATTTTATATTATTAATATAATAAATTATAATATTATACTTAGTAAAAGCTAAATAGATCCTATAAATCCTGACTTTAGTATTATTATAAAAACCTGATAATATTATAACAAATTACCTATAATCAGCTTAATATTCTATTATTAATTTAAATAATATTACCGCGCTAAAAAATCAAAAATATTACTTAAAATAATTATATTAAACCAGAAAACTCTTAATCTCCCTGAGTAATATATTTAATTTAAGAAAGTATTTTCTAAATAAGAAGCAGTATTTATATTAATAAGATTAATAAAATATATTATCCTATTAAAGCTTAATATAGAGCCTCCGTACGGATCTTTATATAATATATTTTATACTAAATTAAAAATATTATAAAATTATCTAAATAAAATAATTAAAAAAAATAAATTTAGCCCTCTAGCAGGCCTATTATAATTTTTTCTTTTTATATTAAGAAATCTGATAGTAGCCTATAATTATATATAAATTATTAAAAATTAAATAAAATTACAATTAAAAATTATTATCCGCTTCCGCAGATTAATAAAATTATAGATTAGTTAAAAGGCGCTAAGATCTTCATAAAATTAAACTTATATAATACTTATTATTAGATATACATCTGCTAAGAAAATAAATAAAAAACAGCTTTTTAAACTTACTATAAATAGTATAAATACATAATAATATTATTCAGACTATATAATACTCCCTCTATATTTTAAGCTTATATAAATAAGGTGCTGTGAGGGATTCTTAATAATTACTATATTATTTATTTTAATAATATCCTTATCTTCTTAAAAATAAAAAAAAACATATCTAATATATTAGTAAGATATTAGAACACCTAAAATATTATGATCTTTTTACAAAAATATTAAAATATATATTTTATATAAAAAAAGTCTATTTCTTAAACTTTATTATTAACTAAAAAAAGATTTAGTTAAATCTTTTTTAATTAAATACAATTACCTAGTGGCTAAAATCATAATTAATTTATAATATTTAAATATTTTTAGGGTTTACTGGATTCTTCAGGAGATTTATTTATTAATATATAATAATTATTATTTTTTTTACTAATTTATTAAAAAAATTAAAAACAAAAGAATAATTCTAGATAATATCTGAAGAGCATACTATCTTTAAAAAGTTAAAAAAAATATTTATAAAATTACTAATACTAGAATATTTTAATCCTAAATAATAATACCTTATAATTATAAATATTTCAGGCTATATAATAGCTAGTATTTTTTTATAACTTATAAATAAACTGTAAGGGACCCGCAGGCAAGAGATCTAAAAACTAATTATTTTTTATTTAAAAAAGTTTAAAAATACTAAATAATAATAAAAAATATATAACTAAAAACTATTAGTAATTATTAAATATTTTAAAATATAATAATATTATCTCGCAAGCGGACTATAGACAGTCCGCGTGTAAACTAATTATATAAATTTTAAATATTTTTTTATAATAAAGATTTTAAATATAAAATAAATCTAATAAACTAAGCTGCTCACAGCTTATAACTTTATAATTAAGTATAAGTCTAGCTATAAAAACCCCGCAGATATATTATTAAAACAGTAAGATTACTAGCCGAGTACCAAGGAAAAATAAAATATTAAAATATTACTAATATTATATGTCAGATGGGGTAGGTAGGTCACGTGGGTTGAATAGAAATTTCAAATGGCTAGATAGAATAAGAAAAGTCGATCAGTCAGATGAAGTAAACAGTTCACCTGGACTACCTAGATCTGATGATAGACCAGAGGTCCTACTATTCGCTATGCATGTAGATAGGTGAAATTAATTGAATGAATAAATAAAATTTAATTAAATAAATTAAGTGGGTAAATTAACTTGATAAAAAGAATAAATTAATACAGATCATTAACTACATATTTATAGATAATTAAATTAGGGCTAATTTAATCTGGCCCTAAGTAAATATTATAAATATGAAATCATCAGATCCTTCTAAGCCTTTAGCTATAAGTCTTATTATTAATCTAGGCCTTTAAGATTAACCTTATAAATTATTATTAGATTAATATTTAATTATTTAAATGATTAAATAATCAAGATTTTATGATCAGAATAATTAGAATAATTAAGATTTAACACATAAATCATAATAAAATTATTTAAATAATATTAGAATAACCAGGGTAGTAATATTTATTTTATAGCTTATAAAATAAATAAGCGAGATATTCTGGATCCTTTATATTAACTATTTAAACAAAGCTATTAACTGTAGTGGTTAAAATAAACTTTTAATTTCCTAAATAACAAATTTATTAAATTATGTTTTCTAACTTCTATAAGATTCTAGTAATTAGTAATTTCCTAATTAGGAAGATAAGCTAATCTAAAATAGGAAATTCTTTAGAAATTTTTCTTTTTTTATTTTTTGCTTATATTAAGTTTAGTTTTATCTTATTTCTCCCATATAATTTGGTGGTAGAAGTGAGAGTTTAATAAAGTGAGAGTAAAATTATAATAAATTTTGAATAATTTCAGTTATAGGGCGAAATCAGGTGAGTCTAATAAATCAGGTAATATTAGATAACCCTAATTAACACACTCCTTCAGTTTAAATTAATAAAAGTATTAATTAAAACTATAAATATTAAATAATCAATTATTATTTAATAAAATATTAAATATTAACTATATTTAGTTATTTAGTAAATTTCGTATATTCCTACTTAGTCAGGTGTTTAGTAAAACCATCTGTAATTATTTAATTAGTAAGGACCTATTTTAATTTAATAGATTTTTTCTTAATTTCTTATCTAAGCCAATAATTACTAATATTTATATATTTTAATTTAATTTTATAAATTAAATTAGGCTTAATAAGTAGGTTAATCATTTAATAATTATTATAATAAATATATAATTTTTCTTCAGGGTTAAACCCTATAGCAGTAAATAAGTATTTTTACTATAGAAAATGCTTACTAGCTATAGTTAGGGCTAATAATTCTACTTTAGTAATAAATAGGGTAATTATTTTTTGCTTTCTAGCTAACTAATTAATAAGTCTGTTAAATAAGCAATATATAAAGCCTTTAGATGATTTTTTTTATAATAAATCTGTATAAACTGTATTATTAGCTATTTTAAAAATTAGTAATAATTTTAATTAATCTATTAAATCAAGACTATATTAAATTGAATTAAATCGGGTTCCATAAATAAATAAAATCAGGTGATTTGCTATATGTATATAATTTAAATAAGGTTTGGCCATATATTTTGCAAGGATTTTGTAACTTTTTATAATATCTAGTCTAGAAATAATTATAGGATATAAAATTAAGCTAATTTTCTTTTGATAATTTACGTGATAAAACTTAGTAAGCAATTATCTTATAGATTTGCTTAAATTACTAAATAGTAAAAGTATTTTAGATAAATTCTGATTAGCTAATTTCAAGTAATAAGCAACTTTTTTAATATAATCTGCTTAATTAAGCTAAATTATTTGATTTTGCTAGTTTTGAATAATCTTTATATTTAGGAATTAGTAAATTTTACCTAAATTCTTTAGATTATATATTAAAAATAATTAATTTTTTAATTCGTTAATTTTTGATTGATAATTTTGATTATATAATAGGATAATATTATTTATATAAATTATCAAAATTATATAATTATTTATAAATAGGCAGGGATCTTCAGGCACTGATTTGAGACCTAATTTTTACAGAGTATTCCTTATTTCGTGTTGCCATAATAATAGGGATTAGTGTAATTTATATAAAGCTTATTTTAGCTTAAAAATCTTATTTTGTTAACCGAATCCAGGAGGCGGTAAAACATAAATTAATTTGTTTAATTTATTATTTAAAAATATATTTACTATATCCTATTAGGTTGTTTTAAGGTCAAAAGCAGTAATTAAGGCTATAATAGTCCTAAATATTCGTGTGGCTAGGATAATAGCCCTAAAATTAAGATTATTAATTGGTTAAAGGTCTCTGTAAATATATATTCTTGCTTTAAATTTTAATAATTAATCTTAATTAGTAAATTTGTATTTCTATACCTATTTTAATAGTAGGATCTTTTAAATTGAATTATCTGTTTTAGGAATGGCTTCCTAAGTATTTATTTTAGTTAATTAATTATATTTAATTTTGTATGCATTTAGCCATTTATTATAAAAAAGTAAATTTATTATTTTATTTTAATTAGTTGGCTTAATAGGCAAATTATTTTAATATAATTTATTATTACTAATTTAAGCTAATATAAAATTTTGAGGTAATTTTAAAGATCCTGGATCAGGTAATTCTGATTTATTTTTTTTTAAGGATAGTAGTTTATGAAAATTGTTATAATTATTAAAATTAAATAGTGAATTATTAATAATAACTTCGGGTGATTAAAAATACAGGATAAGAGGTTAATCTCCTAAAATCTTATTACTTTAAATATTTAATTAAATTAGATTATTTTAATTATTTAATTTAATAATTCGATTTTCATGTTCAGGCTTATAGTGAATAAGATTATATTTACTAGATAATTCTGATTTACCTTGTTCGGGTTCAGAATAAATATTATTAATGATTTTATCCTTAGTAAATCCTAATTTAGTAGTTTCAGGTAAATTAATCAAAATTAAAAAAATTAAATTATTAATTTTTTTAAGACTGAGCAGTTCGGGGTTTTCTAACCTAATTAGGTCTAGTTTAAATATTTAAATGTTTTATTTATTTTTATAAACCTTTGTTTTATTAAAGATATAATTATATGCTGAAATAGCCTTATTTTAACCAGGTATCTATATTTTTCATATATTTAAGGTAATATACCCTATTAGGTAGCTAATCAGAGCTCTCAGTTTAAGCTTACTAAATCTAAGAATATTTAAAATCCTTGTATAGGCTCAGTAACTATATTATTTTAGGTTAAAAAGGTTTAGTAATAATATTATATATAATAAAGATTAATCAAGATATTTAAATAAGGTTTTATGGGGGGTACTCCACTTTAGTGAATAAGTAGAGGTGCGATTTAATATATATATTATTGTATTTAATAATTCTGGCTATAAGTATGGTGGTAATCCTGAATTAATAAATAAAATTTATATTTTTTATATAATTAGAGCATCTGAACACTTTATAAATAGATTTTACTTAGGTTACTTAATTAGACTAGTACTGCAGATTACCCCTTTAGATCTTGTATAATTATAAAAATAAGCTAGATTTTTATCTTAATCTAAATAAAATTGTTTAATAGTTATATAATATTAATATTTAATAAATTAAATTATTTCGATAATTAAATTGCTCACGTGATCTTTTAATAAAATTATCTTAGCTATATAAAATTTTGAATAAGGGTAATATATATGGCTAATATATTGTTTTTAGTAGATTCCCTGATTTAAGTGAATAAAGTCCTAATAAATAGTTTTAAATAGTTTAGTCCTTAATTAAATTAGAATTGAAGAAATTTAATATTTTAAAATTAATAATTGATAAATTAGGCAATAATCTTTAGTTTTAGTTAATTTATTATTAATTTTTACTCTATTAATTATTAAATTAAAGTATTTTAGGGCTTTAGAGCTCAGGTGTCCTAATCTTTAATATTATAGTTTAGTTATTCCATGGGAGATAACTGGTTTATTTAAATTTTTTGTTAAATAGGCCTCTAATTCATTTACTTTAGTATTTAGTAATAAATTCTGTAATAAATTCAGACAGTGAATATAATTATTTTTAAAAGTTAATTTAGGTAACTATTAAATTTAATTAGTAATATTCTATTTAATCAAATAAATACCTATAATCTTGAGGACTTCATAAATCAGGCGGTGATTAAAGCTTTTTAGATATATAGCCCTTAAATTAAGATAAATACCTGATTACCTTACCTTTAAGGCAGATAAAATATTAATATAAAATTATAAAATATAGGCGTAATAATATAGTTCGAATAATATTTTATTTTTATAAGGATTTAAAGGTTTTAAATTAATTGTTCTAAAACCTTTAATTAATATCTGGGTATTCCTTATAGAGATTAACGTAGGTAATTTATAATAATTACTAAATAATAATTAATTATTACAGATATGGGTATCTGCAATAGTATTAAATACCTAATTAGGACTAGCATATTTTTCTTGTCTTATTAAAGTTGAAGCTATTATAATTAAATTAATAAAAAATTTATTATTTTAATTTATTACTTAATTTATTAATTTTAAGTGATTTTTCGTGGCTTTAAGTATTATGCAAAATTTAGGATTTTTAAAAATTTTATTAAATTATTAAATAGCCTCAGGATCATATAACTAATTTTTTGGTTTTTTTAATAAATTATTAATATAGAAATATTAGTTAAATTTATAGTGACCTTTATTAAGGTCTAATTAACAGGGGCAGTTTCGTTCCTTTTTAAAAGTTCTAAGGTTAAACCTAGGGCTTAGAGTATTTTCCAAGGCTTCTTTTTTAAAGATTGCCTGAGCGATTCGGCTCAGTTGATTTAAATATTTAAATATTAGGAATATTTTTACATAATCTCTGAATCACTTAGTCATATTAAAAAATGACAGTATTTTATTATATAATTTAATTTTATTATTTAATTTTTCGCTCTAATAATTTATAAATATTAAATAAGACCCATAAATAGCTTTAATAAAGTTATATTAAACTTAGTATAGATTATTTACTTTACTTATTTTAAGCGATTTCGCTTTAGTATAAACATTTTCCCATAGTAAAATATATAAATTAATTAAATATTTATTCTGCAGATTTTTAAGCATATAATATTACTTAATAATATCACATTTTCTTGATTCATTAGTAGGAGCTAGTTTTATTTAAAGGATCTATAGCACATAATATAGGGTTTTTTTATCAGATACTAAAACCCTATTAGCTAATAATATTAAGTTCGTAATCAGAAGTAGAATTAGGGCTAAGCCCTCATCTATATAATAGTATTCTCGAAGCGCTAATTCATAATCATGTAAAAGGTCTCGATAAAGCGCTCGATTATTTTAGGTTAGATTAATAATTAATCTAATATTTTTATTAAGGTCACATGGTTCCGGGTAACTAGGCTATACAAGTTAATTAGGCATAATCGTGTGACTAAGATTAATAAATTCCTAAACATGTTTGCTTTTAGTAATTGTTTTAATTATATTAAACTAGTATATCTAGTCATGTGACTAGTTTAATTAAAAATTAAGCTTTATATTTATATTAATAAGCTTAAAAAATTAATAAAATAATTTAAATCACTTAACCTTTATTTCACCTTACTTTTACCTGACTTTTACTATATAAATCAATAATAAAAGTAAAAGTTCAATAAAATAAAAGTGAACTAGGTAAGTAGGGATTAATTAAATCAGACAGGTAAATAATTCACTGTAATAGTGAATAAACAAGTAATTAATTAATTCGCGTGTGTGTGAATTTAATTAATAAATTAATAAAATAATTTAAATCAATCAAACACTTTAGACAGGTGAAATAAAACACTTAAAGTGAGTATACGGGTTAAATAAATTAAATTAATATAAATAGTAAATAGTTTACTACAGTAGTAAGTAATCAAATAATTAATTTACGTGTGGGTTGAATTTAATTAAACAGACAAATAATTAATTCAGATGTAGGTGTGAATTTAATTAAACATATGTAAATTTAATTAAATAAATAAATGATTAATTCACGTGTATGTATAAATAATAGGAATAAAGGGCTAGACCGGGCTCATAACTGTTAGATAGGGTAGGTAGGTTATATAGGTTAAATAAAAATTTTAAATAGCTAGATAGAATAAAAAAAGTTAATTAGTCAGATAAAGTAAACAGTTCACCTGAACCACCTAGATCTGATAATAAACTAGAGGTCTTATTATTCGCTATGTATGTAAATAGGTGAAATTAATTAAATAAATGAATAAAATTTAATTAAATAAATTAAGTGGGTAAATCAACTTAATAAAAAAAATAAATCAATACAGGTCATTAACTATATATTTATAAACAATTAAATTAGGGCTAATTCAATCTAGCCCTAAGCAAATATTATAAATATAAAATTATCAGATCTTTCTAGGCCTTTACTTATAAATTATATTATTAATCTAGGCCTTCAAGATCAACCTCATAGATTATTATTAAATTAATATTTAATTTAATAAATAATCAAATAATCAAGATTCAACACATAAATTATAATAAAATCATTTAAATGATATCAGAATGACCAGGGTAGCAATATTTACTTTATAGCTTATAAAATAAATAGGTGAGATATTCTGGACCCTTTATATTAATTATCTAAACAA